AGGCACGTTTGATGAGCTCTGGTCAGTTCTGTTGTAAAATGTCCCAACTGTCTGTCTCACGATGACATTGGCAAGAATTACATGACTTATTCTGAGATGAGCCCACTGGCTGCTTTGCTGAGGGTAGAAGCGGGGAGAACTCTTGGAAAACTGTTGTCATAATCCAGGTGAGGCTTTATCCAGGATGACTTTCAAGGAGGTGGTCAGACGTAGTGCATTTGTGAACTTACTCTGGATTGAGTGGGTTCTGATTGTAAAAAATGTTTGAGAATCATTCTTATAGCATCAGCGTATTGTTTAGAAGGAAAGGCTATGACAGGTGTATTGCAAATGAAGAAGTAGTCTTTCTTTTTGCCTAGCCCTTTAACTTCCTCTTTCTTCCTTTTATTATCTTTCAACACTTGACTACTTTAGAAACTAGGAAAGCTAGCTAAAATACTGTGATTTTTGTTGCCTGTCTTAGTACATCCATGTTTAATAAAATCAAGGAGAAGGTGGCTAGTAACAGCTTTTCCTTGGATCCCAGGGAAATAAAATTTAGTATGAGCTACCAATACTTTTCTGGCATATGCCTGACTAGTTCCTTAGTACGTAAAATGATGTATGTGTACAGCTGTGATGGAGTTAGCAAGAACTGGATTTGCTGTCTCAGTATAAACTGGATAAAATACGTACATCAGCTGTTCTCAGATACTGGCCAGCAGACCACATAGTGTGTGGTTGCCTGAAAAGAAAAGTCATGAGTCCTGTGGTTGCCCTGACTTTCTGCCGGTGACACTTTCTATAGCACAGTGCAGAAAGGGAATTTGAAACAGCAGCTAAGAATTGAGACAAGAGCTCTAGGGAAGAGAGCGGTACGCAGAAGAGGGCCCTTTTGAATCTTTTTGTGTCCCGCCACACGGGCCCCTGGACGCTGAACGGTTCCCAGTGCTGTGGTTGGATGGGATCTGATGACCACAGGGGCCGATCTTTGGTGACTACCGTTATGATATTGCACTCTGTCACTCACCCAGACCCTTCAGTATTTATGCTGTTTAGGTGCCTTGGCATCATGCATGTATGCATTTACTATTGATATATGACTTGACTCCTTTTTCATTACATACTGGCCTCTCTGTCTCTTTTAGCTTAAAATCTTTTTTGTCCAATGTAAATATAGCTACCTTTGCTCTCTCTTGATTTGCCTTGGCAAAGAGTATCTTTTCTACCTCTTCACTTTCAGGCTGTGTGTGTCCTGAAAAGCCATGAGTCTGTCGTGGAAACAAAATTGGGTCTTTGTTGCCTTGTTGCTAATCTGTTCAGTGTCTTTTTACTGGAGAACTTAATCAGTTCATATTCAAGGTACTTAAGGACAGGTTAGGACCTATTACTGTCACTTGCTAATAGTTTTCTGGTTGTTTTGTAGATCCTTCCTTTCTTGCTGGGTGTGTTTGCATGTAAGGGGGAATTGGTGTAGGGATACGCTTTGAATGCGTTTTATTTTTGTTTTATGATTTTGGTGATGATTTTACGTTGTGGTTACCATGAAGCTTGCATAGATCATCTTATAACAACCTATTTCAAGCTAATAACAATTTAACTTTAATTCTATACTTTATTCTTTTTCCTACCTTCTTTGCTTTTGATAGAGAATTTATATCATTTTATAATGTATATCTCTTGACAGTTTATCTTAGCTATAGTTATTAATAACTCTTGTATTGGGGTGAAATTGCTCTGTATACCATTATTACAGCCCTAGAGTATTGTAATATGGCTGTTTTACTTATACCATTGTGTTTTGTGCTTTTGTGTGTTTTATATTATTAACTAGAGGCCTCTTGTTAGTAATTCTTAGTAATTCTTCTGAAAGACAGCTTTGCTTGAAAAATATTCTTAATTGGAAGTTCTTTCCTTCAGCATTCTCTGGCTCAGAATTTCTTCTATGTCTTTGATGTTTTTGTGTCTTATCCTCTTTGGATAGAACATTATGTTATTGGAGCACACTGTGCTTCTAGTACCTGGATATTGGCATCTACCCATGGATTAGGGAAGTTTTTAGCTGTTTCTTTAAATATGCTTTGTGGCTTTCTTTTCTTCTTTGTTTTATAATTTGTATTATGTGAAAGTTTGATCTCTTCATGATCTCCTATAATTCTTACAGGCTCTTTCCACTTTTTTTGTCTTTTTGGTCTTCCAACTGGGTAGTTTCACAACTCGGCATCCTAGCTTGCTGATTCATCCTTCTGCGTGGAGGAGTCAGTTGTGGGTTTCTGTTGAATTTTTACTTCAGTCATTGTATTCTTCATTTTTAGGATTTCTGTTTGGTTCTTTAATCTATTGTTTTCCAATTTTCATTTAATTTTCTGTCTGTATGTTCTTGGGACTCACTGAACTACCTTAAGAGGATTATTCTAAATTCTTTTTCTGTCATTTCATAGATCTTTATTTCTTTAGGGTCTGTAATTGGAGTCTATTAGCTTTGAGTTTTTTGTTTTGCTTAGATTAATTGTAATGATACCCTGATTAGTTGTAATCCTGTGTCCTCATGTTGCTTTGTATGCACTGGAGGAGGCATCTCCCTCTGTAGCTTTCTGGGTGTTCTTTGGGAGAGTTAAACCTTTACTGTTAGGTCTGACCGGTGATTCTGAAAGGGCCAGCTGGTTGGCAAGCCTGGACAGGCAGAGTTGCTGTGAATTCTCTAGTTGGATGTGCTGCTGCCTGATACTGTGATGGTTCTGGTCATGCTGATCACAGGATATAGTCCCTGGCCAGGCAGTTCCACTCTTTGTGATCTCCAGCTGGGCAGGGCTGTGGGCTGGGCTGCTTAGATGAAGGAAGTTGCCACTCAGATTAGTTGGAGTAAGTGGCTGTGCTCCTTAGAAATCCCCGGATGAGGATTGCTAGCCTATCAGAGTGGTACCATCAGTGGGCTTTTGCTTAACCTCCTGCTCTAGCTCCAAGTTTCTCTGGAACGTTGGAGGTAGGAATCTGCCTGCCATTGGGCTGCGGGAGCCTCTGCTAGCCTTCCTGAGTCAAATAGGTCTAGGCCACATGCTTCTCTAAAGAGCTCCTCCTGGGTGTCATGGTCATGGGCAGGGTCATTGGAGTGGGCCCTGAGGCTGGGCATGGAGACTACCTGTTCACAGACTCAAGCTAAGTTGAACTGTGTTTCTGAAGGGGACCAGTCCAGCTTTGCGGAGGGGCTGTGAAGTCAGGTCTTGTCTCTGATCGGGTGCTACAACTGGCAGGAACACAAAAGAGCCCCAGAATGTGATGGTCATTGTGGCCTCGGCCTTCTTTCTGTTTTTCCTTGTCCTTGGCGGTCTAGTTGCGCCATAATCCTCATTGTTCCCAAAAGCGTGAGACCAGAGTGGGCTTCCTGGGGTGTGTCTTGGGAAGCCGGGTCATTCTTCCCCCCATGTAGAAACCATGGTCCGGAAGAAACTTCCTCCATATAACATCATGTCCCAGCTTAGGAGAAGACAGAGAAGGGCCCAGCAGCAGTGGGAGTGTCTTCTCACCCTTCTTCTCCTGCTCATTCAGTTCTGCGACGGTACAGGTGTCTCAGGCCTGTTTCCAAATATTGGCGTTTTCAAGAAGATGCTCCAGTCTAGCAGTTGCTAGTTGACCTTTTCCTGGTAGAAGTGGAGCCCCAGACTTCTGATCCCTCCATCTTGTACATCATTTCCTCTGGGCCCGCTTTTACACTGAACATTCCCACGTAGAACCCTAAGAGAAGCTGTGATCTTGTCCTCCCATAGTTCGTATGTACAACCTGTGATACTTGGGGTTTTTTCTTTATCACACCCTTTGTTTTGCTTGTAATTCATATTCACACATCCAAAGTCAGTCATGCAGCCATCACCCCAGTCAATTTTAGATTCTCATCACTCTAAAAAGAAAGTGTTAGCCGTCATACATTAACCTCCATACTCTCCCCAGCCCCAGGCACCTGCTAATCTACTTTCAGTTCTTACACAGCCATGCAGTATGTGGTTCTTTGCACCTGGCTTCTTTGATTTAATATTTTCAAAGTTCGTCCATGTTACAGCCATATCAATAAATATCTTAGTTTTAATAGAACTATTTAATTTTACTTACGCATTAACATTGAATTCTCCAGGAGAAAATGCTCTTCTTTTGTTTCGCTTTTTTAATGTCCACTTTACTTCTTAAGCATTCTGTTTCCCTCCCTGTGGATATACATATCCCAGTTTTAGATGCATAGATCTGTTCTCAGAGTGGGGTGACAATGTTACCTTTTCGATTTGCTATAAATGTTTTTTAAAAAAATCTCAAGAAAAGCTGTCCTCTTAAAGTAAACAAGCCCCACGAACTCAGCAATCACCTGTCTTCGCTGCCAGCGAGTGGAAGAGAGGCAGGAGAGTTCCTAGGGGAGACGTGAGTTCCTAGGAGAGCTTCTAGGTCACTCACAGGCGTGGCTTTTTTTGGGAGGAGACCCAGAACAATACAGTACAGATACTTTTTCATCATTTAATCTCATAGTCTCGGAGGTCTTATTTTTTTTCCCCACCTTTAAACATTTAAAAAAAAAATAGAATAGGAAATTGAAGCTGAGAGAAGTGACTTTCGATTATGTGGTCCAGTAGCTACAGAGGCAAATCCTGAGCCTGAGTTTTGAGTCCGAGTGGAAAAACGTTTCTCAGTAGCATATTGCATCTGTCACTACCAGTGCTCACCACTTAGAGTTTAGATGCTTCAAGGGGAGTGGAAATAATCTTTATGCTCAGTTTTTCTAGTGACAGTTGAAAACAGACAATTGAAAATAAAAACTTAGAATTCTGCACTGTATTATTAATGGAATTAATACTATTTAATGGAATGTAATGGAATTGAGGAGTATAATGCATACAGAAATGCAAATCCAACAAGTCACCTGAAAATTCAGTGCAGTGTTTTCAGTGCATGTTTCACCATTTAACTTTGAGTTCAGAATTAAAGTTCAATTAAAAATACAAAGGCACAAATATACATTTAATTTTTTTTTTCTCTCCCAGACAGATATAGATTATGTACACGGTGTGGTGGCCAACCTGGAGAAAGAGTAAGTTCTTCTTCACTATGGGAATGGAAATATTTTAGTTGCTGTTTTCCCTTTGCTTTTTGCTGAAAGACAGTGCCTTCCTTTACAGTCCATTTCTCTGTGGAGTTCATTTTTATTACCTGCCACTGTCTTTGACATGGTATAAAGTTGGTGCACATAAATGCAGTTATCTAGCGGGATAAATTTGTTCATTTCACTGTAGAAAAGACTTAAAATGTCATACGTATATAACACTATCATAGTCTTTAATGTTGAAGGCAGCGAATATAATATAGTTATATGAGATTATTTAACTCTTTTCACCCTCTATTTACCAAGCAAAAATGTTTCTGCTGTCAGGGTAGAAAATCACGCAGCTGTTTCACACCTCTGTGCTGAGCTGTGTCTGCATTGGTTCTGCTCTGTGAAGTTTGAATACTGGCTTCGTGAGCAGGGACAGAGCAGATAACAGAGGGAAGGTTAGGAGATTTCACATACTAGCACTTTGGCTAGTTCTTTTGATATTGGCTTAGTACTTTTGATAGTGATATTATAAGAATGAGTCTTATCTTCATTGAATTGTCCTTGGTTTTGTCACTAAAAGATAGATGTGTTTTCTTCTTATTCTTTTTTTGTTTTTTCTTCAGTATTGGGGATTGAACCCAGGTCCTTCACACTGAGCTACATTCTTAGCTCCTTCTTATTTGTAAGTCAGGGTCTTGCTAAATCTGTGTTCCCAGGCTGGCCTTGAATTTGTGATCCTCTTGCCGCAACCTCCCAGAGTGCTGGGATCACAGGTGTGTGCCACCAGGCCAAGCTTAAGACATTCTTTCTCTTTAAAAAGAAAAGACAAAAGAAAAGCAAAAATTGTTGTCCTACCCTGGGTTTAACATGTTTCCGCCGGCTTGAACTTCGGAAAGAAACTCCAGTACATTTCAGTCGGCACAGACTGACGTAAGAACTTAGAAGAGGGTTTGCGGCCTCCACACTGCTGCTCTTCTGGGCTGGTTGATTCTGTCTGTGCGGAGTGGGATGTTTAATGGGGCCTGTGGTGTCTGCACTAGATGGGAGTGTTGTTGCCCGCTGCAGAGATCCCGGGACGTCTCCGTCTGGGTCAGCACAGCGAACAACTAAAGCTTCATGAAGATGGAGGACCTTTGAATTTTGCATAAATCATGTGTTTAGATCTATACACAAAATCATTTGTTTCCTTTGCTTTAGTTCCTGACTTTCTGTGGGACTGTGATTTGTTATTAACGTTCTGATTCCTTTCAGGCTTGTAATGCCTGCAGTTCGCCTAGGTTTCTATGCTGCTCTGAGGACAACAGTATTTTATGCTGTTTTTAAAAAGCACTATTTAAAAAGAAATAAAAAGCCAAAAACCTTGGCTCCCAGAAGAACCAGTGCTTTCTAGTAAATATAGTCAGTGATGAGCTACTTCTGCGAACGCCTTGTGACCACGACATTGAACATTTTGCACGTGTTTACTGATGTTTTCATGCTAAATATGCAGCAAAATGAACGTTAAGAGAAGTAAATGACTCAGCTACCCTTTCTCCTGTAGGTTTTCGAAAGAGATCAGTTCTGGCTTGGTGGAAGTCATTTCCCCTCCTGAAAGCTACTACCCTGACCTGACAAACTTGAAGGAAACATTTGGGGACTCTCAAGAAAGAGTGAGGTAATAACTGTCTCATAAAAGTAGTTCTTGTTTATCAAAGCTTAGGCTATTTAGGACTGACCTGGACAAATATTCTAGGTAGTCGCCTTAAGCACAGGCCAGCTCGTGAGATGCATTCTCTGGAGTTTTCTCAATAGGAGGCACAACTTAGTAGGGGCTTCTCCTTTACTGTGTTTCTCTTAAACGGGCTTTTAGAACCTCTTCATGTGAATTTAAATATGTTGCTATTTTTTTCATATAGTCATATGCAAACACATTCCTAGACACAGAATGGTGTTCCCTCAAGTATCATCCCTCTCTCTTTCCTCCCCACTAACTCCTTTCCTTCCTTCCTTCCTGCCTCCCTTTTTTCTTCCACAGTACTGGGGATTGAATCCAGGGCCTTCACACTGAGCTACACCCCAGTCCCTTTGGAGACAGGGTCTCACTGAATCACTAAATTGTCCAGGTTGGGCCCAAACTTGTGATCTGCCTGCCTCAGCCTCTCGGAGTGCTGGGATTAGAGGCAGGCAGCAGCATGCCCAGCCCCTAAAGTGTAATTTTCAAAGCACGAGTTCAGTGAGATATTAATCAAAATGTTATTGAAAACAAGGGCCTGTACTGAAAGAAGTTTGGAAAGTATTGGATTAAATTTTTTCTCTCCACGAATGTCCTCTCTGTGGGAGATGTTAGCACCTTTAATACACTAACCGGAGTGCATCTCTGAGTGGAGGCTGCGTCCAGTGCTTCCCAAACCTGACTGATCTGAGACTCCTTTTCCTCAGGCCACCTTGAGGATTAATTTCTCGGGAGTACGTTTTGGTAAAGGCTTCATTAGGGAAAAGTGAATTTGCTTTGCCACTGTGTGTGTGTGTGTGTGAGTGAGTGAGTGAGACAGACAGACACTGGAATTTGTGCAGCTAAGCTTGTGTACTACATTTGCATCTGGTTTCTGACCTCTGTTTGGAAACCCTTTCAGATGGAGAACAAAGCAGAACCTAGATTACTGTTTCCTCATGATGTATGCTCAGGAAAAGGGCGTGTATTACATTCAGGTAAGCATTCTCCTTTCGTGGCTTTCACAGTTCTAAAGAAAAAACATTAGCAAGGGCGTATTTTCACTAAAACAGGAAGTTTTGCAAGCAAGATGCTTCTCAGATCTACGGCTCAGAGGGCTGGGGCCCCCCTGGTGACAACAGGTGGCTCTGAGGCCCCCGTCGGCTCCACCCGCTGGTCCTGGGCTGGGCGTGCGGCCCATGCATCTTCCTCTGCCTCTCCCTCACCCACCCCTTCATCTTCTTCACCTTCTCTTTCTCTACTGTTTAAAGACAACTAAGGTGTAATTATTTGTCAAACTTTAAAGGGTTTCCATATAATTTTTCAGTGGTCTTGTGGTAGAATAATTGCTTTTGTAGGCTCTAGTACACTTCCATTTATAATAAACATGATAAAATTGACCACGAATCTAATGGTGTATTTCTTAGCACTATGACCCTGACACTGTCCATGTAGAATGATCCTTTGAGGTTGTGGACTTTGGGTTAGCTAGGTAGGCAATGGCTTAAAAAATTCCAGGAAGCTCTTATTTCTCAGTTTCTCTAAATCTCAATGACATAAGTTTAAATTCTACAACTGGAATTACATTTCTTTAACCAAGAGAGTTTATCCCTTGTTCAAAATGCAAATACCTATGAGAAGTGGAACACATCAACTCCGCTAATTTTTCTTTTTTCACTGTTTGTTAGATTTCTTTTTTTGAAGTGGGTCTCACTACATCACTAAGTTGCCCATGCTGGGCCTGAAGTTGGTGATCCTCCTGTCTCAGCCTCCCAGAATTCTGGGATTACTGACCTGTGCCACCAGGTCCTAGATACTCTTCTAAGAGGAAATGTTGATGAGGGTGGCAAGAAGAGATTCTGGGTTCCTGAATCAGAAAGAAAATGGTTGTACAACTATGGGGATTTAAGGGTGGTGATGGAAGAGGAACGCAGGAAAGAGCATGGCTTCACATGGGAAAGCAAATAAACTAAGGTCAGGAGCTGTTCCTTTGACATTTGACCTAGGCTTCTGTGTTAGCTTTCTGTTACTATCACAAAAGCCTGAGGTCAGCTTCTAATGAGAAAAGGTTTACTCGGGCTCACGGTTTCAGAGATCTCAGTCCATGGTCGCGTGGTCCCATGTCTGCTGGATCTGTGGCGAGTCTGCACATAGTGGTGTGAGCCTGTAGAGGGGCAGGGCTGCTCACCTCATGCCGAGGATGGAAGAGGACAGAAAAGGGGGCTGTGGGCTTACCATGCCTTTCCAGGCATGCCTTCAGTGACCTGAAGACCTCTACTGAAAGGTGCTTCTCGGGGAACCAGGCCTTTAACACAGGAGCTCTTGGGAGGATATTTACGATGCAGACCAAAGCAGCCAGCAATGTTCATTATATCCACAGGATGAGAACTGTCTGATGACTACAGTGAGGAACAGAATAACATTGTATGTAAGAGTGTCTGTCTTGCATGTAAACACACGATCCTCTATGTTTAGGTAGCACATTGTCTTTAAATACCTTTCAGAGTCTTTATCCCAATATTATTACTGTTGAGCCAGTATAGAAATAGATAGATGATACTTGAGAACTTGTGTAGAGAACTGGAAGTGTAGTCATGTCACTTTAGAAATTAGGTTTCACTTTCTCTCCCGGGAATGAGTGGAAACTGAATGCTTTCTTGTGGCACATAGGAAGGATGGGGTTGGGAAATCAAGGATAGGGTGTGGATAAGGAAGAGCGTGGTGAGGAGGACTTCCCTGAAGCAGGGTCAGCCTGACACTGAAGGTCAGCAGCAAGTCTTTGAATGAAGGGCTTTGTGTTTATTGCAGCTTACCACATGGTGACATTGTCCTTTATGATTTACATGTTGCACTTTGTAAATCATTTAATACAATGCCTCTTTTATTATAAAAATCACATAACATTAAATTTACCATCTTAACTATGTTAATGTGCAGTTCAGTAGCATTAAATATATTTACATTGTTGTGCCACAGATCTCTTCATACATTTACTCTCCTTTCACCTCTCCTGTGTCTTTAGTTACCATCCTGTACCTTCTGCTTCCATGATTTGGACTATTTTGGATATAAGTGGAAACACACATTATTAGTCCATTCATAACTGGTGTACTTGGCTCATCATAATGTCCTCAAGGTTCATCTATGTAGTAGGGTGTAATAGGTGCCCTTTATTAAAGCTGCGTACTATTCTATTGTATGTTATACCACATTTGTTAATTAATTCATGTATTGATAGACATGCAGTTGCTTCCAGCTCTTACCTGTTGGGAATAATGCTCTGATGAACACACCTTTCTGAGATCCTGCCTGGAATTCTGGGTAGATACGTGGGAGTGGGGCTGTAGATCAGATAGTTCTATTTCTTGTGTTTTGAGGTGGCTTCCTGCTGTTTTTCACAGCGGCTGTACCATTTTACACTCCTGCCAACCTTGCGCAGATGTTCCATTTTCTCTGCCTTCTTGTCAACACTTGTTATTTTTTTTATTTTCTAATAGAGGTCATCGTAATGGGTGTGGTGTGACATCTTATAGTGGTTTTTGTTCTCACTTATGATTATTGCTGTTGAGCATCATTTCATGTGCTCATTTGCCATGTCTGTATCTTCTTTGGAGAAATGTTTAAGTGCTTTGCCCATTTTTTTTTCTTATTCCTTGCATTTCTGGAGATTGAACCCAGGGCCTTCTCACTAAGCTGTATCCCCAGGTCTTGAATTTTATTTTTTAAAATTTTGAGGCAGGGTCTTGCCAAGTTGCTAAATTCCCCAGCTGGACTCAAATCTGTGATCCTCCTGCCTCAGCCTCCCAGAGAGCTGAGATTTACAGGCGTGTGCCCCATATCTGGCTCCCTTTTTCACTTGGGTTATTTGATTCGTGGTTATATTTTCTCCAATTCTGTACATTGCCTTTTCATGGTATTGTTTCCTTTGATGCACAAAAGTTTCCCAGTTTACTGTAGCTCTCATTTATTCTTGCTCTTGTTATCTGTGCGTTTGGTGTAATATTTGTGTCATCATCACCAAATCCAATATTCTGAAACTTTTCTTCTAGAAGTTTTATAGTTTTATCTCTTTGGGTCAAATTTTTAGTATATTATTTCAATTAATTTTTATATATGGTGTAAAATACGCATCTGCCTTTATTCTTTGCATGTGAGTATCCAGTTTTTCCAGCATCATTTGTTGAAGAGACTATCCTTTCTCCCCTGTATGTTTTTGGCATCCTTGTGGAAGATCATTTCACCGCATTTCTAGGCTCTCTATTCTGTATGATTGGCTGATGCATCTGTCCTTACACCAGTACCACAATGAATGGATTTGTAGTATGTTTGAAGTGTGAGGCCTCTAACTTTATTCCATTTTAGAATTGTTTGACTCCTTACATTCCTTGAGATTCTGTATGATTGTTTGCAAAGTACAGGAATTTTGGTAGAAATTGCATTAAATATGTAGATCACTTTGGGTAGTGTTGACATTTTAGTATTAAATCTTAACATCGATGAGCACTGTTCAAAATTTTTATTAATTTTGTTAATTGTAAAAATAATCTTGTTTGTGTTCTGTTGGTTTTTAATAGTGATATATTTTGATTCTCTTTTCATTTGATTCCTTTTGTGGATATTCTGTAGATGCTTGTGATATCATTGCAGTTACAGAAAGCATCTTAAAGTGATGTCTATTTAAAACTGGTAATTTCATTCTCAGAAGAATGCTCTGTATTTTTACAGTTCTGTGTCTCCACTTGTTGTTATTGATGACACATTTGCCTCTTTTTATATTACATATCCATTGATACAGATTTATAATTTTCTTTTATGCTTTTGGTTTTTAAAATTCTATACAAGATTTAAAAGTGGTTTATGCACCTTCATTACTTTACTGCAGGATTCTACATTTGTATATTTACAGCAGGGTTTTAGGGGGTTTTTGTTGTTGTTTGTATGATTTTTTTTTTTTATCTTTCTTTTCACTTCAAATTGAAGATCTCCAGGAATAAGGTGGTGACTCTCAACTCACTAAACTTTTGTTTATATGGGAAAGTGTTCATTTCTCTTTTATTTTTGAATGACAGCTTTGACAGGCATAGTATTTGTGGTTGATAGGTTCTTTCGGTTTTAGCATTTTAAATATACCATCCTATTCCCTTCTAGCCTGGAAAGTTTCTACTGAGAAATCTGTTGATAATCCAATAGGAACTCCCTCATATATGATGGGTTCCCTTTTTGTTGCTGCTTCTCAGATTTTTTTCTTGATCTGAGACTTTGACAGCTTGATTATCATGTTTCTTTATATAGCTCTCTTTAGATTTGTCATAATGGAATTCTTTGAGCTTCTTATATTTGTGTGTCCATTTTTCTTTCTAGATTGGGTAAGTTTCCAGCTGTATTTCTTTAAATAGACTTCTTTCTTCTTGAAGTCTTATAGTATGTATGTTACGTTGCTTTATGGTTTCTGTGGGTCCCTTAGGCTGTCTTTATTTTTGTCAGCTGCACCATTAATTTTGAAAGTTGTCTTCTTGTTTGCTGATTCATTTTTCTGCCTGGCCAGACCTGCTGTTCAGTCCCGCTAGTGAAATTTCCATTCAGGTTTTATATTCTTTGATTCTAGTTTTTGTGATTTCTCATCATATTTTTAACCTCTTTGTTGTTCTCATTTTATTCGTGTTTCATTTTCCTGATTTTGTTCACTTGTTTGTGCTCTTTTTCTTAGTTCACCAAGTCTTGCGACAGTTACTTTCAATTGTTTAGTAATCGTATATCTCCAGTTTTAGGGAGTTAGACTCGGAGTTTAATCTGTGCCTGTGAATATGCCATATTTTTGTTTCTTTCATCTTTTTTGTTGGAACTGTTGGGATTTCGGTATTTGAAAAGTCAGCCACCTCTACTAATCTTTGTAGTCTAGTGTACTCAGGGACCGCTTCCATTCATGCTAGGGAGATCCTGACATCTTCTGCAGGCTTTTCTGAGGCCCTGTTCTCTCTGGGCTTGGGATGTAATCTAA